CGCGTTAGACGGAAGCTGTAAGTTTTAAGGGCATAAATGGAATTAAAAAAATGTGGGTGTGTATTTAGTAAAAAGGGGTTGTAAATAGAATTACCCAAAACAAAAAAAAAACAGTTTTTGGCCCAAACCCGGACCCGACCCGGCCGGGCCGGTTCGCCAAAAACTGTAACCGAGCCCGGAACCGCCCAAGCCCCCGGGCCTAGGCCCGAACTGGACCCGGACCCGGAAAACCGGGCTGGTCCGGTCCCGAACAGTAGCGGGCCGGGCCGGGCCAGTTCCCGGGCCGGGCGGCCCGAACCGAGGCCATCCCTAATGATAGTAAATGATCTTCTTTGATGGCAGTTTTAGATGAAATGAGACTAAGTTGGTAGAGTGAATCGAACCATCTTTGGTTTAATTTGATTGTTTCCATTTTCGTTGGTTTCCATTTTGAAGTAATCTGGTATGGAATGTTTGATTGTTGATACAAATTATAGAACACATAAGGTTCCTTTTTTAGTTTGTTCTCTATTTTAATTCATTTCAATTGTGTGGAATTGAAATTTCACATAGCCACATAGGTGTGGACTTGGTCCTTGGTCTGGTAGAACCTACAGTATCAGAGTCGGTTGGCGTCCATCCCGAATCAACAATTACTTTCAAAATGTATAAGTTTCGTCAATAACAATTTAACACTAGTTTTTTGACTTCACGTAAACTTGTTAGTTTTTATGTCGGTTGATTTGGTTGCGAAAAGGTTAATATATTGGACTTTAAGGATTTTGTAAGGGGTTCCTTAGCTTCCTGTGCAGTATCTTGGTATCCCCTTGGCATAAAAAAAATGTTTTGAGGTTCAATACTCACCTTTTCATGACACTATTATGACATTAATATTAAAATCCTTCGTAGTTAGGGCATCTCCATGAATAGGTCCATTGTGGTCCCACCTTATCAAATGCAAAAAAGAAAGACATGGTGGAGCTTATGTGACAACTAACAAATTGGAACATAGTCAAATACAACGTCCATATATGGACCTTCGGTGCAACTTTCTCACAAGTAAATGTGGGCTTCTATTTATGGAAAGTCACATTCTTAATTTTATCTTTGTTTTCCATTATTTTCTTTTGTTTTGTATTTTATTTAATTGTTGTGCATTGGAATTTGGAGGTGTGGTTTAATGGACAATCTTTTTGTCAATATTGGATCCACCTTTCTAGACTTGGATCTATTTTTTTGCTACAAGCCTTTCATTCACCAGTAATGGAATTGGATAAGGATGAGGATGGTTTTGGCCATATAAATTGAGGTTTGGAACATTTTGGGTAAGATTGGTGGCATCTCTTTACTTTAAGTGTAAATATTTGGAAGTTTTTCCTTCACGCAAGGGACTCTCAATCGAAGTAGAAACTGACGTCTATCAAAGACCTCAATCACGTAGAGGCAAATCAATTTGTTGATGTTGTGATGTTTGGTGTGGGCTGTTCATATTTTGTTTGAAGGATGAACTTATCTTCCTCTAATATTAGTTATCTTTTGAGAATTAAGGACAATTAGAGTCTTTGGCTCGCTTCAATTGGATATATTATAATTTACCAATGCTTTCTTTATTACTTGCTTGGTATTTGAGCATCGTGAATATTTGTGTTTTTCAAATGGCGCATAATTTATTGATTATGGGATACCGAAAAATATACTGTTGGTTATACGATAGTATATGTTTTGGCTTTTTGCATCATTCAGGGCTATTGAAATACATGTACATAAATATAGAATATTGAAATTTGATATTGCATCTATGAGGGCTGTTGAAAGTATACTTATTTATATACTCACAAAGAGTTGAGCAAAAATGTGATTTTTGTTGGGATGATTGGGTTGTGTGTGATATACATAAAAGTGTGCAAAAATGTAAATTTGCTTGGATGTTTGGTTCTCTACGAGGTTGTCTATAGGTTGGGTAGTAGTATATACATATGCTTGCTGGGAGTTTTCTTTTGAGTCTCTACGGGGCTAACTATGAGTTATATATGAGTAATATGCTTGTTGTGACTTTAACTTTGCGGTCTATGAAATTTGTTTTTTTTTTGCTGACTAATGAGGAGCTGAAAAGTGCCATGTTTGAGAGTCTAAAACTATACTTTTGATTGAGTTTTTGTTTTTTGATCATAACTTTTGATTGAGTTATTAGTTACTGAAAAAATGCATTCAATTTTTAGTTATTAGCCACGGAAAATGCCTATAGCCTGAAACTACACTTTTTGTTGAGTGATTAGTTGCTGACTTGCTGAAAGATGTCTTATTTGAAAACGTACATCTTTATTGTTGATTGAGTTATTAGTTGGCGAAAAATGCACTTTTCGTTTGTTTGTTTACTGAAGCATTATAAATATAAGGCACCTTACCAGGGCGAATAGCTACATCTTTGAGGCCTTTCGATGATTAGATTTTGTGTGTTGATTACCCCCCTTGATCACAAACATCACACTACCAATTTAAAAATACATAATTTGTCTAAAAAAATCTCCACAATTTTCTAAGTCAAAATAACAATTTCTCACAACTCACAATTTCGACTATATAACTTGTAATTAGGGTTGCTAAATAATACCCCGAAAACTTGAGTAATATTGAGAAATAAAGAAAATTACGTTGCATATCGTTTAGAAGGTGTCCAGATAGTTAAATAGATTTGGTTTGGTGTTTAGAGTCATAAGCGGGCCCAAGTGATGCAAAATAGGAACTAAAACGAAGGTGGGAAGTGTTCCAGCCGCACACGGCTGACCACATAGTGTGTGTAGAGCCATGTGCCCATGTGAAGCATAGGAGTCTCTGCCCGGAGCACACGGCTGCCCATATGGTGTGTGCAAAACCGTGTGAAGCATAGGAGTCTCTCTCCGGAGCACACGACTTCTCACACGGCGTGTGAACGACCGTGTGGACGCATTTTCGGCCCACAAGCCCAAATTTTGACCTATTAGTATATAGAAACCTAACTCCGAATTTCTTCATTTAAAAAATTCCAAGGCCGACTTCCTAAGCATTATTTCTTCCAGACATTCAATCCTAACACATCCAAGAAGGTCTTTGAGGCCACGAATGTGATCATTCAATCTAATCTTCCGGTAAGTGTGTTTGTTGCCAAATTCTTATCGTTCTTCGTTTATTTTTTATTCCTCTCTCCTAAATTGTGATCCCAAAACTCTATATCTCTCTAGGGACGTGTGAATGAACTCTCAGGCTAGGTTTGTCATTTAGGATTCGTTGCGAGCCTCAAGGTAAGGACTATTGCAACCAAAACTACTATTTTGCCCTATTATGTATTAATTAGGATTTGAGCTATGATTTGAGATTGTTTATTATGAAATTTGATGTGTGATTCAGCGATGATGGACTTATTTGAGTATGATATGCTTTTCTTGTAATTTTGGAACATGTGAATTTTGAGTAATTAATTATTTTAACTACTTTAGTCGAAATTGTGATTTGTGAGAAATTGTTATTTTGACTTACAAAATTGTGGAGATTGTTTTGAGACAAATTATATATTTTTTAAATGTATAATTTGGTGAGAATATTTACATATATATTGTGGAGTAAGAAATATGCTTGTTGGAGTATTTTGAATATGGTATCAAATACTATTTTGAAACTAGTTTTGGGTAAACCCTAATTTGTGAGTTTTAACTTTGAATTGGAGATGCTTGACATATGATTTTAAGACCTAAATCTGAAATGTATATTTTGAGAAAGTGTTTTGACGTTAAATGATATTTTTGCAATCTTTGAACTACATGTTCATAATGATATGTAACCTATGAACCATATGTTCAGAATGATAAGTGGAGTAATCTATGAACCATGTGTTCATAATGATAAGTGGAGTAATCTATGAACCATGTACTCATAATGATTGGTGGAGTAGTCTGTGAACCATGTGTTCATAATGATAGGTGAAGTAATCTATGAACCCTATGTTCATAATGAAATCTTGAGTAATCTATGAACTACAAATTCATAATGATCTTTGGAGTAGAGTAATCTATGAGCAACATGTTCATATGATAGGACCGGTAGACAACCTGGGTATTCATGTAGTTTGGATAATATATTTTTTGAATCGAAGAGTAAATGGTTTTGTAGAATTAATTGTGGATAAGTATTTATCGGAATATGAAATCTATATGAATAAGTATTTATAAACTATTTTGTTGAATCTCAAAGGTTGTTTTGAATGGTGAATGTGGTTTTAAACTTGAGAATTGTATTTTGAGAACTAAATGGATTTTTGAATCTATACATTAAGTAGCAAATCTATTTTCTTGAAACTATTATTTTATAGGGGTTGGGTGGATCTTACTTAGTTAAAAAGCTAATTTTTGTTTTTTTGTCTTTGTTTTGTTTTATGCACTTTATTTGGTACAGGTGATGAAGAGTATGCTTGATCAAAAGAGCCCAGTATATCACTTAGACTAGTTACTAGGTACATTATTAAATTCAGAATTTTAGAACTTGTCATTGTTTTATTTACCTTCAGTTTTGAACTTAGCACTTATGATTATTTTTGGATTGTGGTTTAGTCTGTGCATTCGGTTGTGGGAGAACCAAATGTGGCAGTAACACCCATAGAATATTACGCTTCCGCTGCAATTTAAACTCTTTTGAATTAGGATGTTTTTACTTGGACTGTAATCTGTCCAAGACCATACCAGATCAGACTAAACCAGACCAGACTTGGATAGTTATAAAAATACAAAGATACTAGACCAGTCCAGATCAAACCAGACCAGACCAACAAATTATAGTCCAAGTAAAAAGAGAAAACTGTCAAATAAACCCCCCTACTACTCTAAAAAAGTCGATTAGGCCCCTCAACTAAAAAAACACTCAATCAAACCCATGAACTCAAAAGAAAAAATTAAATTGGCTTTTTAGCAAGTGACCTCCCGGTTCCCGGTAAACTGAACACGCGTCATATGATGTGGATTTTAAAAAAAATCTCTTTCTTTTTGTTTTTTTCCCTTTTTCTTTCCCATCCCCATTTCTTTCGTTCTGTTTCTGGTTACTTCCTCTCGAGCACTGAGCAGTTGTCTTTCTTCCTTGCAAATCGCAACTGCACTTCTTTCCTCTATAGAATACAGCCCCCAGGCATTTCAGATGAACCCCGTTTCTATCATGGTTACGGTGAACGGCTCAAATTTGGGGACCACGGAGACGGTGAATGGCGTCGAAGGCGAGCTCGCATCTAAGCTTCACTGTCGCCGGAGAGGGGTGGTCCCGCACAGATCTGGTCTGCCGGTGGCCCGGTTTCATCTTAATTCCTGTTGCACTTCGGTGGTCTTTATTAATGGCGGGAGAGAAAGAGACAAATAAAGAAAGAAACCGCTGCCGGGGATTAGGTGGTTCAAACTTCAAAGGAGTGTTGAGCGTTGGACGCAGGGGCACGGATTTGGTCACCAACTTGCCGGTGTCATCTTATTCACCTGTGGGCTGTGGTGTTCTTCAATGGCAAAAGACAAAGATAAATAGACAAAGAAAAGAAAAGGTATGAAAGAAAAGTGAGTGGGAAACAAAAAGAAAGGAAAAATTAAATCTAAAAGCCACATAGATAGATCACCGGGGAACCGGAAGGTTAGAAGCTAAAGAGCCAATTTGAGAGTTTTTTGTGAGTTCATGGGTTTGATTGAATGTTTTTTCAATTGAGGGGTTTAATTGACTTTTTTTGAGTAGTATGGGGGCTTATTTGACTGTTTTCCCAAGTAAAAACATCCTTAAATGGTTTGAGAAATTCTTGCTATACTTGTTAATTGTTATAATTAACATCTATTTTGGGTATGAATTTGGGGTATTATACCCCGAAAAGCTACATCTTTGATTCCGAAAAATCTAAGGCCGACTTCCTAAGCATTATTTCTCCCAGACCTTCAATCCTAACAAATCCAAGAAGATCTTTGAGGCCAAGAACGTGATCATTCAATATAATCTTCTAGGACGTGTGAGTGACCCCTCAAGCTAGGTTTTATGTTTAGGATCCATTGCTAGCCTCAAGATAAGGACTATTGCAACCAAAACTACTATTTGCCCCTATTATGTATTAATTAGGGTTTGTGCTATGATTTGAGCTTCTTTCTGAAATTTTATGAATATTTCGGTTATTGTAGTATAGATATGATGGTGTATGATTTTCTGAGAATTTATGAACGTGTGATTTTTGGTGAATTTATCAAATCAATTTGCTATGGCTAAAATTGTGATTTTTGAGGAATTGTTCGTTTGGATTGGAAAATTGTGATGATTGTTTTGGTATGAGTTGAAGCATTATTTGAGATTATTCTAATTGGTTATTGTGAAAATATATTCTGGGTTTAGAATACCCCAATTGGATTATTTTGGTGGTGGTAGGAAATGCTACTTTTGACTAGTGGTGGTTTGGGTTAAACCCTCTTTTTCGAAACTTTTGTGAGATCAAATCTTTTGGGACAAATTATATATTTTTAAATGTATAATTTGGTATGAATAATTGCATATATATTCTGGAGTTATAAAATATCCTTACTGGATTATTTTGAATATGGTATTAAATACTATTTCGGAACTAGGTTTGGGTCAACCCTAGTTTGTGGACTCTGACTTTGTATTGGAGATGTTTGGCATATGGTTTTGAGACATGAATCTTAAATAAATATTATTAGAAAGTATTTTTGAAGTTAAGTGATATGTGAGTAACCTATGAACTAGATGTTCATAATGATAATTGTGTAATATATGAACTACATGTTCATAATGGCTAGTGGAGTAATATATGAACTATATTAGTGATGGTGGTGATAGATTCTATTTTTGGAAAGTATGGTATCAAATCTCTTGCCAAATTGTAATCAACGATTTCTGAATATTTCGAGCACCCGAGAGTAATCTGTGGTGTTCGACTCTACATCCGGTTAAATGTAGAACTGTGGTCTAGGGTAGTGCTACTATTATCTGGTGGATGATTTCTTTGGTGGTTTTGGATTCTTGGATATTATTATTATTATTGGCTTCGGCTTTTGTAGTAGTAGCACCTATTCCACTTTTATCTTTCTTGGGCAGTCGGCAAATACTTATCCCCGGCTATCTGTTCCTCTTACTACTCAGAGGGCTTGGAATCCCGTTGGGGGGTGGGGTGCACACTTAAGGTAGAATTAACTTCAGTATCCAATTGGTGGTGTGGGTGGGGTATGGGTTTATCGGGCAGTTCATAGGTGACCTTAGTAGCTTGCGCAACCATCTGGGACACCTGGGGTGATGCGTGGTAGTTGGTGACCACATATTTGCTTGGTTCGGGTTCTTTTTTTGGGAGCTCCCCCATTCTTAAAAGAATCTAGAAACGATTAGGGGATATGAGTTTTGGTGAATGAGTATTAAGTATGATTTTGGAAAGAAGTATTGGAATCTGGAATCTGGAATTGTACAAAAATATCTTTCTTACTTAGAGTGATTTTTGGTGGATTATTATTGAATGAAATTTTATGGTGGGTCGGTAATCACATCGACAACTTTGAAGTTTAATTATATATTCTTGGGGAAGTGGTATTTCTGGAAAGTTACATTTTGGGTCGTTAAGCACTCTTGGAAAGCTATTTTGTTTATAGTTGTATTTTTGAAGACCTATATTCTTGGGAAGTTGTATCTTTGGAAAGTTATATTGTTGGTGTGATATATTTTTGGAAATCTATTTTTGGAGAATCATTCTTTTGGAAGGTGATATTTTGGAATGTAATTTGTGGAACGTGAAACTTTAGAATGTATTACTTTGAAATGTGGTATTGTGATAATGCTATTTTATTTCTGTGTGGAGATGTGATTATTTGTAATTACTTAAATCTTCTAATTGCTATTTTAACTACAAATGTTAGTTTTGGAAGGAAATACTTTGCTCTTATATGGAGAAGTGAATTACTTAATGTTCAGAATTATTACTTTAAGTCTTTAACTCTAAATGCGTTTTCGAGTGATGCAAATTATTTTGGAGCTATAAATGTTAAGAGACATATTTTACTACTTTGATGAATTAGATTATTTTGGAACAAGAATGAAAAGAGGTTTTGCTGAACTACTATTGCATAAAGATTCTTTTTATTACAAAATTTTTACTAAGTTTTAAATATATTTCCTAAGGTGGTATTTTTCTCCTATATGGTGATTAAATTATTTAAAGCTTACAAAAGCCATTTTAAAATTTAGAGGTTATGTTGAAGTATGAATATAATTTTAAATATGAACAATAATATTTTTGGAGGTATATGGATTTTCGAAATTATATTATGTATCAAAACTATTTTCTCAAATCATATTATTTTACGGGGGTTGGGTGAGTCTTACTTAGCTAGGTTGTTGTTTAGAATGTGCATTCGGTTGTGTGAGAACCGAATGTGGCGGCAACACTCATTGAATATTATGCTTTCATTGCGATTTAAAATTTTTGAATTAAATGTTATGGGAAATTCTTTCTACACTTGCTATAATTAGCACCTATTTCGGGTATGAATTTGGGGTGTTACAAAATTTTATAACTTCAAAATATGACTCAGACAATATCGAAGTATATATATGAGTCAAATACACTCTTAAAATTATACCAGTAATCATGGGTGCTGAATAAATATACACCACAATAGTATTTAGCTCTGATACAATGTTGAGACTTTAGATTCTATCATAAAAAGTCAACCTTATAGAAATAGTACATCAAGATTTTAAATAGTGTTTTATTACTATACCAACCGGATATGAGATAAATATTTCAGCAATTGTGCTAGTAATTGTGTCCTATTTTGCAACATGGATTTGATTAAGGATTTTTATGTAAAACAATTATCAATGTCTTGAAAAATGAAATAAAGAAGATCAAGTGCTGTGTAACTAAAGTAAATCACAAAAAGGTGGGTCTGAGTATCAGATGGGAAAATCTTACCGATTATTATTAAATTTATTAAAAACAAGTTCAAACGCTAAGATGACATTGTATATGCAGTAGCAATGTAACTAATGTTGTTTCTACTTAACAAATCTGGGTAGACCTTTACGCACAGAATTGGAAGTAAATTTCTTAAATTTTAAGTGTTTGGTTTTATTATATATTTTTTATATTCGGTTTAATGCCTTTAGTAATAGCCTATATCCAGATTCCAGAATTCCAAACTTGAATTTCTTTGATAGCTGAGCTGCCGTCATGAAAGCTAAGGGGATATCAGCGTTGGTGGGATCATATGGACTTGCATGTATTCTTATTCTGGTAGCACTTAAGTTCCATTTGAAAAGAAAAATTGACTTCTGTTGCTTCTTGCTTCTGGTTTGGACCATGATCTGGTCAGGCAGTGCTTCCTCCGAGTGTTCCGAAGACATAGTGAAATTATCGAGTTGGGTTATAATAGTCTTCCACGCTATCACACATTTGTGTGGAATGAAACATGTTCATTATTGTGGATGAATAAAGTTTCATTGTAATAGGTCGTGTGGATTTGTAATAGATGGACTTACATAATTAAAGGAGTATTACCAAACACCTAATAGCTTCTACTATACCAAATGCCAAATACTCCTTTAATATTCAATGTGTTCGGTGACTCTATATACATATTCATTGTTATCATACAGACTCGGAGAAATTGGTCAAAACTATCAACGGCTTTGCTACAATACCTGATTATCTCAAATCGGCGATACGGATCTTATACTGGCTGAGAACGGCTCACAACCTTTCGATCTCCTACGTACCGTCCGAGAGAAACGAACAGGGTTGCCCACCATCTCGCTCAATTAGGTCTCACCTCAGACAACCTTCAAACATTTACAGCGGATGATCTCCCTCCCAGAGCCAAAAGAGCGTATAATGAAGACAGAGCTGGAGTGGCTTACTTCAGAGACGCTGGTTGAATGGACGGAATCACTCTTCTCCGCCGGCACTAATTCTCTTTTTTTGGACGCTAGTTTTCTCTACATGGACCCCAGGAACCATTACGCAGCACATTTTGACCATTTTAAAATTGTCCATTTTATGTTTTCACAGGGAAACACATTTAGATTCCTTCAGCGAACAACTTCGGTTCTGAACATTCTGTAATTGTCATCCATTTTCAATAAAAATTTGGTAAATGTTACCCGACATTTATCACACCCAACTCTGGGTGGTTTTCGGGCAAAAAAAAATACATATTCATTGTCTTTTTTTTTTAAACAGAAAATGATACGTTGGTTAGCAAGTCAAAGAACAACAAAGTAGCTAAACTGAAATTCATCATCACCATTTACCCCAGTAGCTAAACAGAAATTAGATCACAAAATTAAAATCCAAAAATTAACAATCAATTAATCTTCATTATTGCCGTTGTGCCCATTCAGGCTATTGTGCCCATTATGCCCATTTTGGTTCTGCCCTTCCTGACTATGCAAGCTCTGCCGCCCACCTTGGGCTCCAACAATTCTGCGTATGTTATCATGCAAAGCGTCAAGCTTAGACTCCATCTTGTCCATCCTTTTATCCAACCCCTCCGGCACTGGTGGGGCCTTCAATCCTTGGTCAGGCTTGATAAGAAAATTTTTGTAGCAGTCTCTTCAAAGTGAGGACGGACCCGTATGTGTCCATGGAAAACAGCAACCCCACCGTCTTTGCAACATTTTCTGCAGTGGAAAATACCATACCAGACTTCGACACAGCCTCCCACAATCTATCGCCTTCACCTTGCTTATTCAGTCCTTCAATTACCCTCTGGTTGGAAGGATGTAGCACAATGCGCACTACATCCTTCGGGACATCTTCCTTGAAATGAATTTATACATATTCATTGTCAGTTACTATTAAATATTTTATTATATTTCTTATTTTATATTTATATTATTACATGGAAACGTGATTGTTTTTAATTTTGTAATATGAAACTTATATATATCATGCACTACATGATTCTGAGGGGTGTGAAATATATGAAAATCTTTTCTCTTATTAAATAGCTCAAAGATTATCATGGTATTAGAGCAGTTTTTTGTCTTTCTTTTAAATTAAGTCATTGAGTAATACAGTGTAGTTTTTACTATGTCTATTGGTGATGATTTTATTTTCTTAAATGTTTAGTTTATCTTTGTATGTATAAAACCTAGCTTCTTCTCTAGTATGTTTTATTATTAAATTTGATTGATATCATATATTGATTATAACTAGGGGTGGGCAATTCAGTTTACGATTCGGTTTTCATCGATTTCGGGTTTATTTGGTTTAGGAGATATTGTACCAAACTAAAACCATTTGTGTTTCAGTTTGATTTCGATTTGTTTTTGGTTTGGTTTGGTTTTAAAAGTGAAAATTATTAGGTTTAATTTAGTTCGATTTGATTCGATTTTATTTGATCAAATTCGATATTTTAGAATTAGAAAATAAAAAGAGCAATCCATCTCATCTTCTTGTATTTATTATTCAAATAAAATGTCCGGGAAATTAAAGATACAAAAAGAAATTATAAAATATTATAAATTAACACCTAATTTATATTAACCATTAGAAAAAAGTTTCACATCTCACAAAAAATAAGTTTATATTAATTAGAATTTATTATATCACATAAAATATTCAAAGAAAACTGTATGAATCGGCAATAAAAATGTTGGAAAATTCACAATTTTATTCAAATGAATCATGTAAAATGTATTATACTCTAGTTTAACCGAAATTAATTTAAATGCAATTTGCTTTGTTATCGTCATACTTCTTTTCATGCTGGTAGAGTACAAAGTATAAAAAAATACAAGTATGTGTTATTAGCTAACTTTGTCATAATGAATGTACGAAACGTATACAAATTAAAATGATATTAGTATATGCTGAACATGTATTTTTTATATTTAAATTGTTTATTTATATCCTAAAGATGGAGAGTGAAGACAAATACAAAATGTTTTTATAAATATTACAAGTTGTTCGGTGTCCGGTTCGATTTATGGTTTTTTGGTTTAAAACCAAACCATTCGATTTGAGCAAATTGTTATCAAAAGTAAACCTAAACCAAACCAAAGTATCAATTTTCAGCTTGGTTTTGTCCGGTTAAACCATACCATTTTACCTAGCCCTAATTATAGCAATGAAAAATATTGCATAGATCTTATAAATGAAAGTTAAGTTGAGTCATAGACGATCATGCTAATATTTTGATAAGTGAGATAAAAATGATAACTTTTTTTTCTTCTTCCCTTGAATCATTCATTTGCAAAAAATCACAGGATGCATTTAAAATACACAACTCAGTTGAAGATTTAGAAATGTTAACACTTGATAGAGTTGAAGAATACATATACTAAGACACAGATTGGAATTTACAAATACAATTAGCCAGACACATAAACTAGCACACCAAGATTACGACAACAAATTATATTAAGTCACTATGTTTTTTCGATACAAAAGGCTGTTGCTTCTTATACTCCGTATTAATTATTAATAAACACGCACTCGGCCGGCAAATCCTAATACAAAATGTCAATCACATACCATTACAAAAAAATTACGGGATTGTCACGAATTTGGTATATTCTTGTCAAATTCTCTATGAATCTTGGCGTATTAATCACATTTGGGGTACTACAACGCTAACAAATGCTCCACAATAAAAGATGTTATACTAATAAAAAGCCAAAAAAAATTGTGGGAATGCATTTTATCACATTTAGGGTACTACAAGGAGTAGTATTTTAGTTATAAATGTTTCGCTAATATGACCTTAACTTTGGATTAAACGATCCAAGACTAATACGGAATATTTCACATTTCTGTATATTTTCCCACGTTGACCTACAATTCTGCAAATCAATCCTTTCAAACAAATATTTTGCCTTGTTCGTATTAACAACAAACACAAATGCACGATCAAGAACTTTTCAGTCTGTGCATGGTGAAATATTTAGAATTGCCATCCTTCATTCTTAATATAATTTCCCAAAAATCATTTACGGAGCATAATTATTTTTTGAACGACATGCATTTACTCCATGGCAGATAGGTTGATTCGCACTTTTATCATAATTATTTAAATCCATCTTTCATGCAGGCATTTGATCAACAATCAACATCTAATAGGAAGGAGCCTCGCCTTGCGGGTGTGCCAACGTGCACTGTGCTGCCCCTCTTTTATTCATGATGATATTATAATAAGTAATTGTCCAAGATAGGAGTAAATCATAAAATTAGTTCCAAAATAGGACCTCATATTTTTTTATTCCCTGGATAGGACTTCAATTCCGATTATACCCTTCTCCTATTTATTTTTCCGTACCGAATACCAACGGCCTGCCCGCATTCCATCACACCTCATCTTCTCATTTCTTTTCTTTTCTCCACCCACTTTTTTTTCCCCCCCTCCCCTCTTATCACGCGTCCACGTACTCATCTCCCACCCACCATCCTTTTCCCATCTTCTCTCTTTCTCCACACATCACCCATCTCTAACTTAGCTTATCCCATGGAGATTTTAAATCTCTACTAATTTCGGTGGACTTGAACGACGGAATTGAAGAAAAAATTAGTTACCATCTCGATCTGACCAAGTATTTTAGTAAAAGGTTTGTCTTCTCCTCTCATCCTCTTTGTCATCATCTTCTTCTTCTTCCTTTCCTCCTCTTCCTTCTCCATCGATCTACCTCTTATTTCTTCTTCTATTGATGTTTTTCTTATTTCCCATTAGTTATTTTATTTACTTTGAAATCTTACACTAAGAAATTTAATGTTGTATCAGATTTTTTTAAAGACTAACGACGTTCAGAGATTGAAAAAAATGGACATCACTTTTTGTTTTAATTTTTTTTTCCAGATTTTGTGCTTTTAACTTTTCATCTTTCAATTTATCAATATTATATTATTTTATTTTTTAAAATAAGATACTACGGAGTATGTTTTTCATTCGATCAGGTCAATTATATTTTTGTAACTCTTCAAATTAATTTTCTGACTTAAATTTAAATTTCCATAACCTATAGTTTTGTATGGCATTAAAATAATAATATTTCTTCTTTACAAAAATAAAACTATTAATGCCATATTTTTCGTTTTTCTATGACAATATTATTTTTGACACTTAGTTCCGTAATGTGACAATATTATTAATGCCATATTTGTCTATTAATGCCATATTTTTCTGTTTTTCTGCGTGACAACAATTTTCTATTAATGCCATATTTTTCTGTTTTACTATGTGACTACTATTTTTGACACTTAATGTCATTTTTATTGAATAATTTCAAAATTTCACAGGACAGTAATAATTTTCAATTTGAAAGTGTCATAATTTGTGTGATAGTGCAATGTTCTATGTCTATAAATGCCATTTTTTTGTACGAAAATGACATTTATTTTGTGTGATAGTGCAATGTTCTATGTCTATAAATGTCATTTTTTTGGGTACAAAAATGACATTTATTTTGTGTGATAGTGCAATGTTCTACACTTATAAATGTCATTTATTTTGTACGAAAATGACATTTTATTTTAGCATGACAATACAAATTAATTCATTACATTATGCAAACGGCAATCTAGCAAGTTGTAGAGCTAAAGACGACGAATGAGAAAGCTAAAGTGGAGATTGGCGGCGATGGAAGACCATGTGGATCCAGCCAGATCCGAGGGCAGCAGTGGCGCAACAGAACACAACATAGACATATGAAAACCACCTGAGAGAGGTGGAGGGATGTCGGCGACGGTAGAGGCGGGCGGCACCGTGACAGTGGAAGCAGGCGGCGTCGCGACGGTGGAGGCATGCGGCGTCGCGACGGTGGAGGCGGCGGCGTCGGGGACGGTGGAGGCGGGCGGCGTCGGGGACGGTGGAGGCGGGCGGCGTCGGGGACAGTGGAGACGGGCGGCATCGGGGACGGTGGAGGCGGGCGCCGTCGGGGACGGTGGAGGCGGGCGGCGTCGGGGACGGTGGAGGCGGGCGGCGTCGGGGACGGTGGAGGCGGGCGGCGTCGGGGACGGTGGAGGCGGGCGGCGTCGGGGACGGTGGAGGTGCGCGGCATCGGGGACGGTGGAGGTGGGCAGCATCGGTGTCAGAGTGTAGACGGTGGCATGTTGGCACCAGATCTCTGCTACAATATTTTTTTTTTACTGTATTTGATATTAATTTGATACGGAGTATTAATTGTTACTCTAATAAAAAGCAGGCAAGGGCATTTTGTGAACTTAGGTCTGTTTTACTCCTACGATTGGGTACGAATTATTATGGTCTTATTTATGAACTTTTGTCCAATTTTAGTCCTACACGGGTAATTCTCTCTATTATAATTCGATTAAGAAGAATTAAAATGATGTAACTTACAATGTTTATCGATCTTGACTTCTTAACTCAGAGAGTGACCTGACTATGTATCTTTATTCAATTCCATGTCTATTTTTGCCCTGATCATAGATGACCTTTTGGCAAAACCGAAGACGAAATTAATAAGGTCCATTATTACATATCATTACACAAAGATTCAAAGTAAAAGACTAATATAAGCTCAGATTGAACTTCTTCATTTAGTTCAAAGAGCAGTCACTTACATAAGATACATACTCCTATATTTCATAAAATTATTAATTAATGTTTCGGTTTGCCAAGTCATAAGTTAAAGCTCATAGTAAAGCTGTAAAGGTGCTTGTGATACTTACAAGGATATAGATATTTCATATATGGATTGTAAAATGGTACTCACTTTTGATGACTAAATTTGGAGATCACATTATCCGGGATCAAATGAGGCAAGGTGAAATGTTTCTTATTCTAGCTTACTTTAATATCATTACACATTAGGTCCCTTTTCACTTCTAACACAATAGTAGTTAAGCTATGCAATGATTATTAAATATTAATACTACCTTCGTCCCCCTAAGATTGAGACAAAGGAGAGTGATGTTGTTTTTAAGAATAATAGAGTTATAGAGTTAATAATGAGACAATTTTAGGGGGACGCAGGGAGTATATAAGAGTCAAACAAATATTACCAAATATGGTTTGGAACAAATTTAGTGACTGACGGAAAAGAAAAAATGAGACAAATTTAGGGGGATGCGGGGAGTATATAAGAGTTAAGGCCTATCTTTAGAAAAAGTTGACATCTTCCTTCATTGCCCTTTTCTTGCACATAGATGTGAGTATGTGGAGGTCTTGATAGGGATGACAATTATGATCGATCTGGTGGATCTTCGTACTGAACCGCTTCGGTCAAAATGGGGAAAACCGCATTGATCAGATAATAAATACGTGGCGGGGAATACCTGTTTTGTTTACGGGTAGTAGGGCAGTTATGCGACCATGATGAATACCCGAGCCCGGACCGGGTCCAGTCCATGACTAAGTGTAGTAAATGTGGAAAATAAATTAGGGCGCTAAAGTAAATGTATTTGTTATTTGTTACAAAAAAGGAAAGAGGGCCTTTTTAATGATGACTCAAAAAGGAAACTAGATAGTTTATTTAGGAACGAGAGGTGTAGTTTTAGGGTATCCTCTAGTTTTTGACCTTTTGCTCTGGGGGTTCAGCGATTTCTATTCTGCTTCTGGTTGCAGAAGCAGAATTAGAATCAGTTTTCAGAAGCTGGTCACTCACAGCTTTTAAAAAAACTGATTCTAGGAATAAATTAGAGCACCGGAATCACTTCTGCAGAAGCAGCTTTAAGAATTAGATCCAAACACCCCCTTAGTACCTTACCCTAATTTTTTTATCGGTTCTATAACGGTTCTAAAGTAAATTTTTAAACCAAAACCGGAAACCGAACCGTTATTAAGCACAAGGAACCGAACCGATTAAAACTTATAACCCACTAACAGGAATCGAACCGAACCAAAACGGGTGTTTACCGACCCGTTCACATGGCACGCCCCGCCACCCGCGCCGAAACCCGACCGGCGATCGCTTTACCGACCCGTCCACGTGGCACGGCCCACCAATTGCGCCGAAACCCAACCGCGTACGTTTTTACCACCCGTTCACGTGGGCCGGCTGCTATGCCGCGGTATATCCTTCATCACCAGTGCCCCCCTTATAGTAGTTAAACAAACAAACACCCCAAATCTCAAAGTAGCAACATTTTGGCCCAAAAAGGTATAAGTTTATTGTTCATTTTCTTTTTCCTTTATTTTTTCCCTTCCTTCCCCATTCCCTCATCCATAAAATAATGAGCCTCCGGATGCTTTGGGTGCGGCGAGGGTAGTTTGTCGTGGAAGGGGATGGGGGGACGAATAAGAGCGTCAAAGGGATGAATATCAGAGAATCGTGTTCGGGACCCTGATCTTTGCAATTCACAATTGCTGTGGTAAAGGTTGGGTCTAAGCCCAATATTTTAGGGACCCCGACTTTTCCACTTCGTTCGGGAGACGCCACCTTACTGCCCGGTTGGGACATAGTTAAACCCTAGTCGCCCCTCCTCTTTCTTCCTTCTTTTCTTCTCTTCTTTTGACTTCAGTCATGGAAAAAGTTTCGTTAAATCAATATTTTCAGTTCTATCTATATGTTTATTTCCTAACGTTGTCTAGAGATATTATTTTCGGTGGCGAAGTGTCGCTCGCCAGATCTATATTCCCCGCCATCATCGGTCGGGTGTTCTTGTGTGCTAGTAAGAGGTTTGTATTGGCTTCTTTATCAATCATGAATCAGGATTTCTTCTGCATCGATATAGAGGCCGATCGCCCCCCTCCTGAACCACCGCCAATCCAAGAAGATGACATTGGATGGATTGCTTTCTTTCCGGTGGCTGGTCAAACCGGAACAATTTCTGCACTTGGCTCCTTACCGGTGGCTGGAAAAACCGACAAGTTCAATAATTCCTTTTCGGTGGCTGGTCAAGCCGAACCCATTTTGAGTAGCATGAGTAGACACACTACGGTACAAGTCTACATTGTTGCAGGGTTAGCGAACATCAGTGCTTTTATATGGCGTTTTTGTTCTTTGTCTCTCACCCTAGTGTAGTATTGAACGCTATGATTGCAATGGTTCAGCTTTTAGTTGTTATACTAGTATAGTACCCGTGCGATGCACGGGAAGATACCGCACGGGAATATTCAATAATATTAATATAAATCAATTACTCCCTCTGTCCCAAAAAAAGTTCTCCATTTCCTTTTTGGATTGTCCCAATAAATTGTTCTCATTACCCTTATTGAAAAGTTTTATGTGAGTAGCTATCATTCATTTACCTTTTTCTTATTCAACCACAACCATACATTTCCACTTTATTCCCATTTTCTTAAGCTTCAATCCAAGTCAATGTGGGAACCATTTTATGGGATGGACGGAGAATTTATATAGTTATAATGCTAATGACATTTTTTTCATTAGGTATCTCAATCTCTACAAAATAATCATTCAATCCTCCAATAGTACCATCTCTAATGCTTACAATCCATTTAGAAAAGTTAATCAAGTATTTTTTTATATGAAATTTTATCAATTCAGGACATGAAAGATAGATGAATTATCAATTCAGGACCTGAAAGGTGAAATATATCAGTATAGGGTCCGAATTATGAAAAACTATAAATCTAGGACCTAAATATATATTCAATTGTGTAAATAATCTATGTATTAAAAAAACTCAGCTCTATAGATTTATTAATCCAATGATTTTAAAAAATGATACTCCGTATAATTTTATAACCATAGTATTAGTTTCTTTGAAATTACACCTATATTTTTTTAAAACAAAGAAAATTAATTGATGTTGATCGAACAGTCAAAACTTCGAAGTAATAATCTGATACGAAGTAATCTTTTTAAGGTACCTATCTGTTCGAATTTAACAGCTTTGATAATGAATTTTAGGACAAAATGAACTACACGTTCACTTGATGAAAAATCTCATGTTATATTAATTCAAATTATTTGTATCCAACATAATTGTTTAAAAAAATGTCTTAAAAATGTTTAATCATAAAGGATTTTCGTACAAATACCTATGGTGTGGCAAGAAAAAAATATTTCCTCATATTTTATCTTTAGCAGCCTAGCAGGTATGTAAGGTACATCCTAATCAAAGATCGATGAAACTCACTGTTTTAGTGAGTGCTTTTCCTAGAAAGATCTTTAATTTATTCCCATGTATCAATCAAACAACGAAGCTTAAATTTGATTTGTAAGATCACTAAACTGTTGCTACAATTTGCAATATACGATAGTAATATGTTTGTGAACCTATGCTACGTATATTTAACAACTTGTTGACTCAAAACACTACTGTACCAACCTGTTTGTCTAACTGCTGGTAAAAAACTAATGAACATCGTGTATAAAAACACCTCAAGCTGGACTAAAAACAACTTGAATCTGGATTCATATTTTCTTGATTATATACATGAAGCTCCAAAATAATGGTATAAAAACATTGTAATACATACTAATTAATAATTAAGCAAGGCAGATTGATACACACACTTTACTTGAAATGTTTTGTCATACATTTTGTAATGAAGATGCAATTCATCATAGTTTTTAATATCCCCCATGCTCTGGTGTGAAATGAACGTGACTTGAAAATATCACCATAAACCACTCATATCAACAATGTGAAAAAACAACATTAAAGAAAATCATAAAGATCCTATTATTATCATCTTCTATTTGTATAAAAAAAAGTTGAAAACATTGTGTGATGGAGATAAGTATTATGTCAGTCCAAACTTATACCATTTTAAAATGTATTGAAGTTGATAATGATTAACATTAAGTCTCATGGTACAGATCAGAGAAAATTGATCAACTAACACTGCCTGTAAGAGAGTTGATGCAAATATTTGGAAGTAGTTAAGATTGACCTCAAAGATTATTGATAGTATAAATTTCTCCTAATATCTTCTCAATACACTCTGAATAGGGCTAAAGCAATGAACAATCTGTAGTTCATTATAATTTGCAATCGAAACATTTTCTTTCAAAAGGTGATGTGGCTATCAACCACAAACACGCTTTTTTATTTCCAGAAGATTTTTGTGCTTAAAGTAATTACCTTATTACTCTGCAGATAAAGTTTTAAAATACAAAGTTGCAACAGTAAAAAGTTGCTAATTGTTGCTAATGAAACACATCTAACAATCCATTTCATTGTTAAGAGGCTCTTGCATGAGTAGCATTGTTTTTCTTTTGAACAGGCGCATGCAGGTGCATGTGGCACTGATTGAATGTCCCAGATGTGGCATATATAAATTTATAGGCAAAATGTGGAATCCGAAAAGTCATGTCTTATAATGCAGTTTTTAATGCATTTTGAAACATGAATTTGAAAAGCCACATAGCTTTGGCAGCAACAAAGTGGCCGGGCAACTTGAATTCGGCATTCGAAAAGCCACAAATCCTCAGCAGCTCATTTAATACATCTAATTCTTAAATATTTTATTTGCACAACTATTAATATTTTGTCTTTTTGGTTAGTTTTAATTATATAAGTTAGAAGTTAAAACTAACATTTAATGAATTATTATCTATCAACTTCGGCCATCAGTGATGTATTGGTATATTTAAAAGACACCTAGAAGAATGCTCCATCATTAATGTTGAAGCACGTTAAGTTGGCCGGGCTCTTAATGTACGATTTTTTTTCACGCCAGCATCACTTTAACACCTTTTCATCACAATTATCTTGCCAAATGTTTTTCACACTTCCCGCTCAAATCTTTCTTAGACTATTCCGTTTTTATATATAATATAATATAATATAGATTTCTTGTTAAGATCTGATTATCAATAAAATGGTTATTTAATTATCAAAAAGAAAACAAACACATACATCCTGAGTCCTTTAAAAAAAACAAACACATTCTGAGGGAACACCACCCTAACATCAATATTTTTAACTTCTCATTTCACACGCTGAATTGTGTAACAATAAAAATAAAATTGATGTTACTTTTCTGACCAGTTGAATTGACTGAAGTGACCGTAGATCATTTTTACAATTTTTATATAATCTTTTATTTATTTTATTAATATAATATATTTTGAATATAACTTTCTCATAATTCAGTCATAAATTCATCAAATTTCTACAAATTTAGTCGATTTTGTTAATTTGTGTATTACCAAATTGACTCTTTTCTTATTTTGTAGACAATTTGGCACGTTCTTTTTAACCACAACTTATTCTTCACCGAATGTTTTTTTCAAATTAAACAATGTTTGTATCAATTTTCTAAAAATAGAATTACTATTAATATCTATTATGTTAAAAATTTGGAAAAGTGGTCAAATAAGTCATTTTACTATTTTCAATCTGCCACCCAAATTTTTTTTTGAAAAACAAGTAACTAATTTATTCATATCAAATGATAAAAAGAAACAGATAAATGAATAGTCTAAGGCTACAATCGGATGAGACTTTGAATGAAAAAGATTTCATGTATCCTTTCGGATCATTGACCCCGCAATAATGTAGTATAATCTAACAGCCTTATTGCACTTGCTACTCCAAATAAAAAATAAAAAATTACAAATAAAAGATTTGGTTTCCGCAGCCACCGGAAAAGGAAAAAATTGATTTGAATTACAATTATTACCACAATTTAAATACTCCAACTATTTAATCAAAATAATTGATCCTAGGCGTACTAGTAGTTCATAAATTACATCGAATTGACCCAAGTATTGTACTATTAATTGACGGATTTTTCTTATCTTTTTACCGTGATGAAATCATGTTGTAAACTCCATTTGCCTCATCTTCCTTGTCCTTATTTTCTTTGTAGTCCATCCCAGGATAATGTTCATTTAATTTTCCTAATTTAAAAACTGCTAACACTACAAGAAAAATAGTTTTGTGCAACCAAAAAATTCGTCATTAAAAGTTACAATTTTGTTGCCCATTCTCTTGTGCAACTAAGTTAATTTCGTCACAAGGTCGTAGCCTAAGTATCGTGGCCCATAGTATTTTATGTGATAAACTTAATATTCGTTGCCCAAAGTAATACTTGTGCAAAAAAAATATTTGTTGCCCAAAATAACAATTGTGCATCGCAAACCTCCAATGCCCAAAAAAGTATTTTGTGTAACAAAGTTTAGCAAGTGTAGCCTATAATATATTTGTGCATTGAAACTCTACCTTGCACAAATGCCTTATGTGCAACAATTTTCTACTAACTATAGCTTATATTGTTTTTGTGCAATGAAATATTTGGTCACACATTCTTTTGTGCAACAAATATTTGTCTTCCTTACTCATATAGCAACACTGTGTGCAACATTATTAATTTTTGTCACACTGACATTCTGTCTCTTAAATTTAAAATGATGCTAATAAATGTAAAATATTATGAGACACACTTATACAATAAAAGTAAGTGATAGCTTCATATCCAATCCTTTGACAATATCAAAACTATAATAATATGATATGATGTTTAAAGTCTGGTTTGCAATCACTTTAAAAAAAGCACTTCTCAGCTTTTGGCTTAAAAAAGCACTTATTTACCAAACACTACCAATTTTTTATTTTTCTCGGCTTTCGTGTCAAAAGTGCTTTTCCACTTTTTATACACCAAAAGCACTTATTTTACCAAACACTACCAACTTTTACTTTTCAAAATCACTTTTTTCTCAAACACTATCAACTTTTACAAATAATCACTTTTTCCAAATCACTCCAAAAGCTGTTGCAAACACTCCCTAAGTGGGTGAGGGTTTGGGGATGCCATCTGCATCGTTGGCGCGAGCTAGAGTACCGATCGGTGATTTCCATCACCGAATAGGAGATTACCGCTGGCAAAGAGAGCAGGAGGCTCGAAGGTGGGGCTCGACTCGTCAGTTCGGATGGCAAGGTGAAAGACCAGTCCCGAGGCAGGGCGGAGTTGGGCGTGGTTACGAGGCACGACGGCCATGGCAGTCCGGCTTTTACTCCAGAAAAAGAGGGCCTGCCTTCAGAGGAGACATGGCTGGACGAAGGGCAGTCCGCAAATGGTCGGTTGGTGCACGTGAACGGATTTGGGGTGAGCGAATTCGACCCTGCTGAACAGATTGGGGCTCGTACAGATCTTCAGGCAATCAACAGTGGGCATCAGGTGGAAGAGGGAGGAAAGCTGAAGCAAAGTTTCACAATGAATGGATGGCTCCTCAAAATGCAGAAGAATTTGATTTCTCCATTGAGAGTAAGAATTTTCACTTTAAAATTATTGACTCCACAATTTGCATCTCCGAAACGAAGTGTGGATTAACATCCGTTGTGAATCTTGATATTGCGGGAGTTAATTGCTTAAAGGATTCTATACTCAAGATCCTTTTTGAAAGGTGGTTTTGGAGGTTTGAGTTGAATAAATCTCTTATTGTTTTGTATGATGCCAATTCTTACGGAGTATTTATACGAATAGTTGAGAAGGGAGGTGATTCTTTATTTATTCCTGAGGGGTGGAATGGGCATGGGATCAACTTTTTTCTTACGGGGATTACACGAGCTATTATGTTGATGAATGCATACATTTCCAAAAAGCTGACAATTGAAGAAGAATCAGGTGAAATCTTTTCAATTACTATGGGTTCCAATAATAATTTAGACTTTATACCTTTTAATGAGGATTATCATTCCTATGAAACTATGATTTCCATTTCGGGTGTATTACTTCAGACCGATATTGAGCATCTTGATTCATTTGAATATTTGATCAGTCTTTGGGTATGATTTCTATCGAGAATGATCATAGTATTGAACGGAAAACTGAGATTGATGAATTTGCAAATTTGAAGGATTTCTTTCAGGTTGCTTTGACAATGAGGTGAATTCACTTTCTCAGTTTCTACTTTATAAATTTCAGAAGTTGCTTGTCTCTTCTTTGGGTAATTTGACTTTGACACATACACACGAAACAAAAGCTGATACGAAGGAAATAGGAATTTCTGTGTCAGGTGATGCTCATCCTAGATAGGATTTTCCAAAACTTACAGCCGATTTTGCTGAAGCTCTTGCTTGTGAGGGAGGATATGATATTCCATACTTTTCATTTTCGGGGGATGAATTTATTGGGAATGTCTCAGAGAACGAGAAGAGGATTCCCATCTCGACGGAGGGTGATCTTTGGGACTCAGATACTAATGAGGTTATTTGCCAAAAAGCTTTGTTGGTTACACGAGACAACTGTTTGCCCACTCAAAATCTGAACAAACAAAAGGGAATGTACAGGAAGAGGAAACAACGATCTCATCTTATGAGAACTAGGTCTCAAACACGAGTGGAGCTTTGAAGATTTGACTAAAGATTACACTGAGGGACTAGTGTTTTTAGGGAAGGATTTTTGGTTGTTCTCCGGGTTGGTTTTTAGCGGAAGTTTTTTATTTTTTATTTTTATTTTTTTATTTCCTTTGATTTCCTTTCTGTTTTTTTCCTTCTTTTTTCATGTAACTTCTATCATTTTATTTAATAAAGTTCTTTTTAGTTAAAAAAAATGATATGATGTTTATGTGTTTTCAACTCACTTTGTGTCAATTTATTTACACTATTCTAGAATGTAAAAATATACTACCTCCGTCCCAAAATTAACTTCCCGTTCGGTTTACGATGCTTGACTGACGATAAAGCAACTCGATCCCTGCTCACACTCGGATTATTTTTAGTAAATAAAATTTACATATTCAGAAACTACATTAAAACCGCTACAAAGCCTGATCAATTAATTTTAAATTTGATAAAAATTTGATATAAAAAGTAAAAGATTACGAGTGATTCAAGTTGACCAATGAATAGTGATTGGGAAGTTGTTTTTGGGACGGAGGGAGTATATAATAAACGACATCATGAACAATATTGAGTCGTCAATCCAAGAAGCATTCCTTGACATATCCACTTGTTTAACATAGGTCATCAGAACCCCATTCTGCAAAACGATTTCAAAAAAATATAATTACATTAGAGAACAAAAGTTGAAAACAAGGTAACTAAAACAAAAATCTTCACATTAAATAAATACAGAGCTAGATGATTCATAAAGTAACAATGCATACAAATAATCACTTACTTTGAGTAGTAGTTTGGTCAGAATCTCATTGCTAGTACTTAGTATTTATCCTAAATTTTACTCTTCAAATAAACTAAGCTACTTAATTAGACTATGCGGTCACATTTTAAATTGAGCTAGATGTTTAGAAATTAGAATTGTCCCAAAGGCAGAGAAATAATCAGAATGAAAAATTACTTATTTTATTTTAAAATAAAATTAATAATTTTTTGGGGGCAAAATGAAAGGGATTTTTTTTTGACCAAGTAGTTGGGAGAATCATTTTGAGATATACTTCTGTATTAATGTAGGATAATACAGAGTATCAAATTATCAATAGACAAACATAGAACTGGTGAACTACACCGCATTAGGAAACCATATCCTCCATACATAAATAACTCCGCAAATATCTATTCATAGTACAAGTCAATGCAGTAAAAAGAAAATGATAGTCTGATATATATATATACACACACACACACCAATATTCAGGTCCGGCCAGGCCGGACCACTCCCCCCGTCCTGCCTCCTCCATTTGGGGGCCTTCCCAGTGGCATTTTTGACCCAATTTTTTTTTGTATGTTACTCATCAAGTCTAGTTCATCTATACCAAATTTGAGCAAAAAAATTCAATCGGGAAGGTCGTCAAATGATTTTTTCAAGTTAACTGGTCCGGAATATGTATTTTCCGGACCAGTTAACTTGCAAAAATCATTTGACGACCTTCCCGATTGAATTTTTTGCTCAAATTTGGTATGGATAAACTAGACGTGATGAGGAACATACACAAAACATTTGAGCAAAAAATACCACCGGGAATGCCCCCAAAAGGAGGAGGCTGGACGGCGCTCCGGTCAGGAAATTCCTGACCGGAAGATTACTCTCTCTCTCTCTCTCTCTCTATATATATATATATATATATATATATATATATCTAAAATCTTATAATAGTGAACGAGGGTTAGGTCATTTTGGGTATAGAAAATGAGTTGGTGTACTGTGGATGCATTAGCAAATTGTACATTTGAGCTTTATTCATTGTTCAACTCTTGTATTCCCAAATTTCCTTATTCATCCGTTAAAATGGGTGTTTGTCGCGTTAAAACAACCGTCCACTCCTTAATTATGAATCCAACAATTAACTTTTGTTACAGAATCTTTTTTCAATTGTGGCTACTATGACGGTTCAATTCCCTCATTTCAATTTGCTTAGGAAAAATTATCATTTCAGTTTTTAGTGTTACATAAATTACTATGACAAAGTTTAGCCATTAATCCATTAATCGAGGACTTACAAAAAAGGTTAGACTATTTGTTCTTACTTCATTTTTGTTTTCATTTATTTCATTTTCGATTGATTTAAGATTTGGGATATTTTGAAATTCAATTGTAAAATTACTATATTGTATTCATAATTTCATATTCAATAATTATGGTTTCTTAACAATTATTAATGAACCTAGAATAAGAATTTAACTGTTTATTGGTACGTATTTCTTGCCAAGTTATTATTTTGATCTAAGTGATTCGAAAAAAATCATCAAACAATAGAAGCTTGTTCAATAAATCTAGAGTAATTTTTATCGTATCATTTTAGAAAACCGTTTGGCAAATTTACTTTGAATGTACGTACTATGTCGTCCTAATTGAAAAAGGTAAAACCTAATTTAATTAATCATATTACATTGTGATTTCAGAATAATAAAAAAAATCATTAATATTACTCTTTAAATTGTAAAGGACAAAAATATTACTTAATAACTATTAGCGACTATAATTATGTTCAAATTTATATCATAGTAAATAGTAATTACATATAAGTTACTACGATGCAAAGTTTAAATATAATTATAGTCACTAATAGTTACTAAGAGTAATATTTTTGTCCATAGCATTTTATTAGTACTTAGTAATATTTAAGAAAAATTCCTTTTGAAATATGTATGAATCACATTATGTTTAAAATAGTTACTTTGAAATGTTTCTATATGATTACTAAATATTGCTTCTATTTCTTAAAAGTGATGTATAGAGCGTGCAATGATTCAGGGTGCTTTTTGGGACTGTGTTCAGTTCCAGACCAAATCAGATTAGATCAAATCAGACTTCTTATACCTTCATGTGAATGATCATTTACAAAGTTCTTAGCCTTCTGAGCTTGACCCACCTGTTTAGGAGGCTAATGATGCTATCATAGTGTTATTCAGATGCTTTAATATCATAATGTCGGGTGATCAAATTAAAAAACAGACAAGCATCATCTGCAAATCCCGCTTGCTCACAAGCAGATAGGACTGCCTTGAAGGTATAGGCATCTAGAGAAAATCCCTTTAACATAGTTCAATAGTGCTCCTACCCACATAGCAAATAAGTAATAAGTAGAACCCTGTATTCCAAAGTTGGATGCAGAATTTAGGTAACCTGTATAAGATATTTTCTAAACTGGCAACAAAAATGGAAAATAACAGAACAAGGATATAATCGGTATGATACACATATGGAAAAGGGTATGAAATAGAAGTATTCACTAAGAGCGGACCAAGCTAATGGTTTTTTTTACCGTGGAAGGTAGCCAATGAATTGTGAAAGTTTTAGGAAAATTCCATCTCAAGATATTTACAATAGAAATACAAGGAAATCATGTAATTTTGGCGGTCCCTCCACCATCCATAATTGACGCAACAGAGGAGCTGCAAACAATGAAGTGGCCTGGGAGAAACTATTGTTTGCTAAGCCCTTCATCTTTATCCCCAAACAGAACGGAATAATGTGTGACGTACCGGCTTGGAGCAGTATGAGTTATGCGAAGGGACGGAATAAAAGGAGAGCAGATCCTTGAATTAAAAATAGCAAAAAGTAAGAAAAACGAAGGGAAAACAAAACAGAATGAATAGAAATTGAAGGGATCGGAAAACGAAGGGAAATCAAGTTATTATTTTGAATAGAAGCTTGTTCAATAAATCTAGAGTAATTTTTATCGTATCATTTTAGAAAACCGTTTGGCAAATTTACTTTGAATGTACGTACTATGTCGTCCTAATTGATAAAGGTAAAACCTAATTTAATTAATCATATTACATTTGATTTCAGAATAATAAAAAAATCATTAATATTACTCTTTAAATTGTAATGGACAAAAATATTACTTAATAACTGACTATAACTATGTTCAAATTTATATCTTAGTAAATAGTAATTACATATAAGTTACTACGATGCAAAGTTTAAATATAATTATAGTCACTAATAGTTAATAAGAGTAATATTTTTGTCCATAGCATTTTATTAGTACGTAGTAATATTTAAGAAAAATTCCTTTCGAAATATGTATGAATCACATTATGTTTAAAATAGTTACTTTGAAATGTTTCCATATGATTACTTAATATTGCTTCTATTTTATAGAGCGTGCAGTGATTCAGGATGTTAGTTAAACAAATTTTGTGTGCAAAATAATTTTTTAGGAAGGTAAAACTTGTGATAATTCATTTTTTAATGGGTATTTGGTTGAGAAAGTTTTGATTATTCACATAAACTATCATTTTTTTAGATTTATTACACTACTCTTTACTCTTGAAAACCACCAAAAAAAAAACTTGTGACTAGGAACACCACCTTCTTTCACTTCCAAAAAAATGGTTTAAGAACATCTCTAATATTCAAGAACCATTTTGGAAAACAAGCCACCCCACAACTCATCAAATAAATTGGGATCATCAAAATGACTTTGAGTAAATACTTGTTGAGAATCCATTCAGATGAAAAAAAAACTCATGGTCTCTTCCAAGAATTTCAACCGATCCATTTCTATACTCAAAAGTCAAATACACAAAAAAAAAAATCATCCTACACACCCAAAAAGTCCTGTCACAATCCACTCATCTACTCTCAAGGGTATAAGTAATTTTTCTAAATCTAATGATATTTTGTGTGTCTAATAGAAATTTGGTTTTGGACCGAAAAAGATAAAAGAGTTTACATGAGTTTTTACCTCTCTTAAAATTAAAATTATTTTTGTTCATATATTTTTGTTGAAACTAACCAAGGCATCCAAAGTTGAAGAAATTGCTTGAGGACAAGCAACGCTCAAGTGTGGGGGGATTTGATAGACGTTATATTTACTTGTGTTTAACATAAGTATTTATAAGTATTTGTTGAAGAAAAGAAGAGAAATCGGGCAAATATATCCAGAATGAGAGCTAGAGCATAAAACATTGCGATGAACGACTTTTTAGACCAAGAGAATGACGTTCTGCCCATAATTTGAGTATAACGTATTCTATAGAACTCGAAATCACTCGATTCGAGTTTCATGTGAATGCTAACTCAATAAGGTACAAATGTTATGAAGACGTCATGGCCAAAATATGAAAGGAACAAGACTCAATCAACCAACAAAGTCAGATGTTGCTGGTGGGATTTCAGGATGCATACCTCTCAGTGTTTTAGCCATAACGTTTGATTGGATGAATAAAATC